AACTGCAAAAAATTCCGAGGTTTGGAGTTGTTCGAGTTCATAGAGTTGGGCAACTGCCCACAAAGTCAATTTGGAGGATGAAAGGAAAGGTGCGTTAGGATGTGCCTGGCTCCCTGTATGCCACATGACGACACTAATCCAACGGTGGGATTAGTTGTAACAAGTGGCGTACAAGGAGCCAAGCATATCAAAATCTATCACTACTCTCTTTATTTGTGTATACACATGTTGTTTATATCTATGTCGGATTCAGGCAAGCAAGCTAATGAAAAAAATTAACAAAAATTAAAACCCTCAGAAATTAAATTTGTAAAATTAATTGCAAAGATCTCGTAGTATGCTTATGTATTGATTCTTGTATACACAAGTGGAATGAGCAGACCAAAATTAATATGACATGTTTTTGATATATGTAAAGGATTTAGTTGTATTGAACTCTAATTTTTCTATTTTATCAGATAATTATCAAAATTAATACTGTTATTCTTGAATTGCTTACTTTCGTGTTTCTTTGGTGCATCTCAAGTGTTGCTGCTTTTTTTAAATTCTTGAAGTATATTTTTCAGTATTAGATCAACTCAACAATACTTAAACAAGATTTTGGTTTCGTTTTGTTTATTAATACTACGAACATTTTGATCAGAGTTTGTACCGTTTTTAGCATTAGCCTTTGTTTGACAATTTTTTTCAAATTAAAAGTTGTGTATCCAATAAAATATTTTGTTAAAAATAAAGTTTGACCAATTTAAAATATGAAATATATATATATTACATGCTTTAACCTACTATTTGTCATCTCCTCCCTCCGACGACACATAACAAATTGGTATAAGAGCCAAAACGAGTCCGTACCCCTTTCTCTAGATCGGCTATCGCCCTAGTCAGTAGGATTTGTGTATACTCGTAGCTATCAATTTCGAGCCCGGGTTAGAGGGTTAGTTGTCTTTGGCTTATTCTTGTGCACATCTTGTTTTATGCTATTACTTCGGCTCTCTCTCTCCTCCTGTTACAAGGCTGTAACCCGGTCCTTGAAAACTTAAGCATGTTGAGGGCAAGTCAAGAATCTGAGCTAGCAATTTTTTTATTATTATTTTTTACTGCTCAGGAACTAGCAATTGTTTTCTAATTTAGTCATCAAAATTTGGTCTCCCTCAAATATAAAAGTATGGCTTTAAAAGACCAAAAATGCGAGTGAGCTAACTTAGTTGATGAGTAGAAGCCTTAATGACCCATACACTACAAGCACAATGGATAGTGGGCTGAAGATTGTTTACTCGTTATGTAGTGGGCTTTTGGTATTTGTACAAATAAGAGTGGGCTTGGTGTCGATCCATTTAAGGCTGTTCGCGTTCTTATAATTTTGAAACGTGGATTTTACACAAAACAGATTTTTCAAGATTCAATTTCAAATTTCAGATATAAGGTTTCACTTTTCAAAAATCAGATATTGAATTAATAATTAAATATTATACCTACCCAAACCCTAATTTTATTTCATTTCTCTCCCTTCTCTCTCTTCATTTCTCTTCCTGTTCTCCCTCTTTATTTCTTTTCCTTCTCTCTCTCCGGCAACCTACCCATTCAAACTCTGGCAACTGGCGACGAAGGAGATACGCCGACCGATGCTGCTGGCGTCAGACGCTGCTGAAAACGGCTCAGATCGTCGCTGCTCCGGCTATAGATATGAGCTGCGGCGCCTTGAGTGTCGCTGATCGTAGTAGCGACGTTTAGTTCACCACTGCGCAGACTCAAACTCCTGTAATATCTTCCCGATTTTGTCCTTCACGTCTTCAATTGTGGTACGGCATCTAGGTTGCTTTTAAGTCTGGCTTGGGATCTGATTTTTTGACTTCGATGGTGAAGTTGGCGGTCTAGGCAGGAGGTGGCGGTGGTGTTGGTGGTGGTGTTGGTGTTGGTGGTGGTCGTGGTGGCAATGGTGGTGGGATGTGATGTGGTGGTAGAGTGTGATGTTGGAGGTGCTGTAGGGTGCTGGCGCTAGTGTAGGGTGCTGGCGGTTTTGGTGTGTTTGGGTGGCAGTTG